TGGGGCTACACGAATTACGATCTAAGCTTACATTTATACCTCAAGAACCAGTTTTATTTTCAGGAACCATACGCAACAATTTAGATTTATATGATGAATATTCTGATCACGAAATTTGGAGTGTATTAAATGAAGTAAATTTATATCCACTTGGAATTAATAGATTTAATGAAAACAACTACAGTTTCAAATGTTTCAATTTATTATTAAAATATAACTATCAAAACTTTTACTAGTATTACACTACTGTTCTGAACGGAGAGATTATGGTATAAGACTAAAATAAATTATTTCAATCTTATTTATTTCTGAATTTTATGAAACAAAAGTTTGTTTCATGTAAAATAGTGATGACTGATGACACTTATTAAAACCGATCTACTCTTTTCATAAAATAAAGAACCTTTTTTACGCTTTGTTACTCTGGCGATTTATTATCAATCCAAATGTTGATATAAAAAATAAAATGTTCATTTGTAGGTACTCGTATCAGGAATTCATAAACTAAACATTAGTATAAATTTATGCATAAAATATGGTATATGAAAATTATAAATATTTTTAAGAATAAGTAACAACATGTTTATTAATGACGTATCATTTATTATGATTTTTATATTAAATTAAAAATTAATATATTTTATACTAAATAACTATTTATTTGTTTTGATTATTAATTATTAAATAGTTTTTTTTTATTTAATTTTGAACTTCTTAAGATTCAATTTTAATCCAATTTGTTAATTATTTAATGTAGAAGCAGAGAACATTACGCATTAATTGTTTTTTAATATTGTAAATAAAATTCCAGGTGGAACTTAAAGATGTTGTGGAGGATTTACCAGATGGTCTAAACTCGAAAATGTCAGACGGTGGATCTAACTTTAGTGTCGGTCAAAGGCAATTAGTATGTTTGGCTAGAGCAATTTTGCAAAACAATAGAATACTGGTATTAGACGAAGTCACTGCAAATGTTGATCACCGGTATTGAATAATTGATATTATTAAAAAAATTGTATTCATTTAATCTTTTTCCGATATTATTGGTATTGTTTTATAGGACAGATGCATTAATTCAAAATACAATAAGAAATAAATTTCGAAAGTGCACAGTTTTAACAATTGCTCATCGTTTGAATACTGTAATGGACTCTGACAAGATTCTTGTAATGAACGGTGGAACTGTAGTAGAATTCGATCATCCATTTAGATTATTGAAAAACACTTACGGATTTTTTTATAAAATGGTGAAACAAGCTGATCACTCCACTGCGCGTTTGGTACATACTACGGCTGCGGAGGTATGCCTACGCCTTCATCATATTTTTAGTTCATGGTTTATTTTATATTGTCCACTTCTCATTGTATTATTTTAATGACTAATAATTAAAATTTTATGTTTTTAAGAATTACAAGAATATTGATATACGAAGAAAAAAATTATCCTCAGTGAAATTTGGTGAAAATTGAATAGTTATAATTAGGGCACCAAGGAACCGTTTTATATTTAAATACATATTAAATTCACAGGGACTTGATAAATTAATTTTGCAAAGGGTAAATTTATTTCACGTGATTTTAAATTCAATGAGCTATACTTGATTTTACTAAGTCTTTAAGTTTTGGGTACACATTCGAGGTGAATACCTGTCTTACATATTTTACAATAATTCCACTTTTTTCACATACTCACAGATTCTTTTTACAAATATTTAAAATAATATGCACTATTATGATTATTTTTTGTTTTTAAATTAAACTTTGGCAGCGTTGAACATTAACTTTATACATTATATTTTACTTATTAGTTATTTATGATAACAACATTATACCTACATTATACATTATAAATTATATTTTATGCAAATGTATAATAATATGCTTATTTGACGGGCTGAAATATTTATTAGTATTTCATAGTACCTACCTATGTCTTTTATCTGTGTTATATAATATTACAGAACGATATTATATGTTCTCATTGGGCTCACCCTCTTGCGTTATTATATAATAAAAAAAAGTTGTTTACAGATTATGATTGCGTATTTTACTGTATTTAATATTTATAGGCATCCACTAAAACATATCAAGTATCTACCTACTTAATTTTTCTAGATTAACGTATTAATGTATTTTTATGCTATTACATTTATTTGAGTTCAGTCATACAATTTTACTGTATGGAGTACATAATTCATTAAGCACACTCATCAATTAAGTGCAGAAGTTTATTATTTGCTAACTTTCATCCGGCCGTAAACTATGATTATTTATTACTGATTCATTCGGTGTTATTTATCATAATATTTTATTTTGTTACACTTAAAGATTTAAGGCTTTAACATAATAAGAGCTTAGAGTTTACACTGTCTAATTTTAAGAGTTAAACCATGAACTTATTCATAGCATTATATTATGTACCTACCTATTGAAAATATTAATTTTACTTTTACTTCGATATATAACAGTGAGTAGTTTGTAAATAAAGTTTATAAATCTATACATTTTATTCAATTAGTTTTATTTAATTCCTAAGAATGTTCAATAAATAGTTAGGTCCATTTTCGTTAGAAAAATATTATAGTTCTCAAATTTCACAGTTCTCAGCAAGACTTATAAAAGTTATAGTTCAGTTCAAAAAATTATTTTATTTTTAACTTCTTAACTTAAAAAGTTCCTGTTGGGTTTCCAATAGATCAATTTAACTTAATTTTTTTTTTTTTTAATTAATGCTTTACCAAGGAATTAAATTTTAATTTTAAGAAATTAAGTTAATTTATTTTATTTTATTACATTTCAATTTATTTCGTTTTACTTCAAAAACACAACCTACATAGTCCTGAGTATTAGTAAATAAATAAGTAAGCTATAAACAAAAAAAATTATTAAATAGTTTTAGAAAATGATATATAGGTATTGAGGACTCTACCCTTGCATTTGTTGTCTCCGTCTTACACACATGTGTCATAGCAAATTTTCAATATTGTTAGACTGAATTGAACTTTTATCATTTTTTTATGCACAAAATGTTATTTATGCTTAAGCATCAACTTTTATTTTATATTTTAATTTTCAAGCGAAGTATATGCATCTTGCTTGGAAATTTGAGTACCTATCAAAATAAATCGAAAACGCTTAATCACAGATAATGTTATTACTTATTATCTAAAAGTTTGATAAAAGTCAACCATAATTAAATTCACTTTTAACTTTTTCTTTCCAACCTTATCCTAACCTATATAGTCTCACACCTATCATCACGTACTTTTCCTGACAATCCACTACACCGTCTCAAAAGGCACTGATGCTGGTGCAGACGTGAAGTGACCTACCAACTAAACTCATCGATTCAACAAACAATTTTTTCTAAAGGGTTTCATCACTAGATGACTTTCCTCCTCATGTGTTCACTTATCATGTTATTATTAATTATGTATTTGAATACCTACCATATCTATTGTATTTCGATCTCATTTACATGTTGTGTTTATCAAATACAAATTGTAAATTTTTCTTTGAATAAAAATAACAAGTGTTGTTATTAATGCATATTAATTTAACTTATAAAAAAAATTGTTTCCTTATTCCCCGGCTAAGGTTCTTCTCAGATCATAAATATATGTCATTATAATAATATGTTTATTTTGATAATTTAACATTTTACGGTTCAACGAAAATAAACATAAGTATAGTAACATTCTACTACTAAAACTGAAAAAGTAATATAGTACGATGTAATAATAATAGTTAAATTAAATTATATTGACTCTCTTCTAAAAAGTTAAAAGCTTGTGCTAAGAAATGTGAGTTTATTATAAGTAGAGTTAGGATGTTGATGACTTTTGAATTTGTTTTCCTTTGATTCTATACAATCTCATCGTAGCTAAAAATTTGCCTCATGTTTCTTTGATGCAAAATATTCTAATTTTATTTATTTATATATTATTTTTTTGCATTTTTTATCAATTTTTAACTATAAAAGCATTTTTGTTTTTTAACGTCGTTTTTCAACATTTTTAAGTCATTTTTTGGGTCATTGTTTGCAGTTTTTCTTCATTGTGAAGCATTTACTCAAATTTTAGATTAGAGCAAGTGTTAAACCCAAGTCTGGTTTATTTAAAATCTAACTTTGGATTTATAATACTAAAATACAATATGCTTAAAATGTAAATGTATACTATTGTTTATGAATATTATAATTTATAATTCATATTTAAAATTTCAATTACACCCATATCTCTAATACAATTTATTATTTATAAATAATTTTTTTTCACTTACTAGATCAGTTTTTTAGATCATTTTTAAGGTAATTTTATGAAGGTTTTAGGGCATTTTTGCACTTTTTTTCCCTAGACATTTTCGTGTGTTTTTTAGGTCATCAACATCCTAACTCTCATTATAAGTTATAACGTTATAAATTTAAACAGAAATTACTTATTAAATGTCATAAGCATAACCAACTTATAAATAATAATTAAATAACAAAAAAAGAAAAAGAAAACATTTATAAATCTAACCAACTATGTATATAATTGAATAAACAATTATAAAGAGTTAATGTAATTAAAATTAAAAAGATTTTTTTTATTTAATTTACGACACAACAATGTACATTTGTAAATAGGACTTTGAGAGGTTACAGTCTTGTAAAATTGAATAGAAGTTAATGAAATGTAATTATATTATTATAATTATGCTCTATACCTATTAACACGATATCTATATTTATATACAAGTAAAAATAAATGTATAATGTAATAATATAAAATGGATGAGCGGTAGACATCAAAGTCCATACTATACCGTCTATACCTACAAATGATTTGTTGGATATAAAAAATACTTTGATGTATAAATGTTTTATATTAAACCATTTAAAGTTGTATTTAAAGGCATCAAATAATCTTTGTGGTATGACAACTTATAACATAATATATTATCATAAATGATTAACGTTATTATGAAAATTACTATTTTGGATTCTGGTGGAGCGATGAATATTAATATATCATGTTACAATGATGTGTGGTTTTTCAATTGCATGTTTGGTTTATATACCACTCGACTTTAGATTTTGATACCGTTTATGTCATTATTATTACAATTATGTTTTAATTGATCAGAAAAATCGGCAGTGTATGAAATTAGTGATTGAATATAAGTTTATAATATACTAAATTTACTATATAGTCTTAATTATTATTATTTTTTTTTTTTACATTTATAATATTGTCTACGATTTCGGATATAACGATTACTTCATTTTCTGTAAGTACGAAGGTATATAACATATATTATGTTACCATTAGATTAAATCAGTAAAGTATTGAACCAGTTATTTTATAATTTAACATAACGTTCTAGTTAAAGTGCTTACATTGAAATTACTTATATAAATATTATATACTTTATCTAGGAAACGCATACAATTACTAGTCATATTATAAAATTACAGATTATGAATCGTTAAGATGTTTAAACTATAACAACTAGTTAAAATATCATAAATTCATAACATATATTTTGAAATTAGTATCGTTTTCATTAAACAGGTAAATTAATTTTTCAACGCCATTTATTGTTGTCAAAAGGTGATGTTTAACAAGTCATAAATCACGGGCTTGTGTTTTTCTAATTTTCATTTTTAAACGCCAGATTTGGTATTCAAATATTTTTCACTAGATAAAATAGCACTATTATTTTCACACTCTCGTTCTCTTCGTCAAATTTTTGTTTCATAAGAATTATTAATTATTTCATCCATATTGAACAAAATTTTAAAAAAACTCAATCAAAAAATTAAAACCCGTGAAATGCAGCTATACTGTTTAATAAACGTATAACTATGGTGAGTTGCAAAGCAAACAACTGGATGAGAAACAAACATTTTTATATAACGCAAGATCTATCATAACGAAAATAATAAATTGGTCGGGAAGTTTGGTTAGATTTGTTAGATTTGTCTCCGTCTTACACACTTACGACATAACTAATTTTAGTTTATGTAGTATACGTGGTACACGTTTAGTTCAATAGTATGGTTTTAGTTTTGATATTAGAGTAAATTGATCTATTATAAAATTAAAAGGTAAAGTTTATGTCTGGGGCCCCGAGTAGGTTTTTATTGATATTATTATTCTTAAGTAATTTACGACCTTGTACATTTTAAAATGATCATAAATCATAATTAAATTAAAAATAATAATATTAATAAAAGGCTACGTGGGGCCCTAGATATAAATCTTACCTTTTAATTTTATAATAGATCAATTCACTCTATTAAAACTATTTTGCTCGTTGGTAAAGTCAATACTTGAACTAAGGAATACGGCTATGAATCTATGATGTGTGGAATTCACGCATAGCGTCTGGTGGTTGTCAGTTAGAATGAATGCAGAGTAAATATTTAAAATTCGCTGTCTATGCATTAAATATTAACTGCGGGTCACATGACATCAATCCAGTTATTAAACATCTGAATTTAGCTCATTGAAAAAAGTCTGCAAAAATTGAAAAATGTGAAATGTCCAAATAGAGCCAAAATACTTTGAAAATTATATTATGTTTAAATTTAAAATATGCTAATAGGTATCAATGTATATGTAAATGTACGGTGACAATTTCAGGTTTCAAGTATCTAAAATTATTAATATTTTAATTAACACTGTGTACATTTTCTCGATTTTTCGTAACTTTTTTCACTGTAGAACCTCCAAAGTACTAACTGTAACCAATTTCTTACAGAGGCTAATCTACAATCTCAAGATTGTAACTTTTCTACTCCTCCGAAAGATGACTACTGTGACAGACACAAAAATAAATAAATAAAAAGCAACACATACCATTGAAAAACCAATACATTTTAAGCTTTTCTCTGAATCTAATCTATGTTAAGTTGGTACATTATTACAATTATTATTATTATTATTCTCCTAATTTTATTTTAGCAATTTTCATTTAATATACTCGAATTATTTATAATGTAAGTGTTAGCAATATGAATACATACAAATATAAAGAAATAATGTAAAAACTTGTTTAATTCTTCGAAAGTTATAAAATATTAGGGACAATAACACTCATTGCAAATTGTTTTTTATTCTTTGAATATTCGTAGGTCGATCACATTAATTATTGTTCTTTCACATATTAATATCTGGAATACATATTATAATATATTATAATACTGATGCCATTTCAGAGTATCACATATGTGATTCTCCATTAATATTGAACACAAATTAATGTATTTATGAAAATACCTAACTCAACCAAATTTATTTTTATGATCATAATTTCAGTATCTGAAAAAATTAAATATAAAATAAACCTTAAATATATATAATTATTATTAGTTGTGAGAGTTAAAAATCACAATAACTACGGGTTCAATGAGAAATATCTTATTAGTTATTTCATAATATCGAAATGGTTACATTTTAATTTCATAAAAAAACGTAGGTACCTACCCTAATACATATTTTTACTATTGTAGATTTAACATGGATGCGACGTACAAAGAAGAAAAACTACCTAATCCTCGATCGGAAGCTAATATTTTTGGAATTATTACATTTAGGTAAACATAATAACATCTACGCCTACCACTATTTATAATTATTTCGTCCACCCAAAAGGAACTGAAGTTTAAAAAAAATGTGGTTCTCATTAATTGAATATACTAAACATACAAAAAAGTGTGCATCAACTAGTTAAAAAGTTGTTGGGGTATACAGTTCACTTATTTTTAACGATTCAACTTAAATAGTTAATTAATTGTATATTGAATTAATGAAAACTTAACTAGTTTAATTAACTGTTCAGTTGATTTAAAAATAATCCATAAAGTTAATATTGAAATTTTGTTTAAACAAGCTACCTATTCACTTTTGTACTTGATATTTTGTACAAATGCACAAAAGGTATAAGTATACTAATCTATAAAGGAAAGAACATATTTCTTTTTTATTTAAAAAAAATAATTTCTCGTTATGTTTACTATTTTAGTAATTACTGGTGGATACCGATAAATTATGGATATAGGTAAATGATAACATGTATTAACTAATCTAGCTTAGAATTATTATGCTGGGTCTACGTGGTAAAATATTAAACAAAAACTGAAGATTTCAATTACCGAGAATAAATATATTTTATAAAGTATAAAACTATAAAATATAAAATGTGTTTAGATACACACAGGTGTCTGTTTTGAACTTTAGTTTTAATTTGTATATCTTTGTGTTTTCTCCGCATAAGCAATATTACAATTTCTGATACCTATAGGCTATAAGGTGTCTGTAAAAATTAATAACATGCTGTTATGCGTTGTCTATAATAATATGTTATCTTTTTAAGTTGGGTTTTAGAAATTATCAAAAAAGGATTAAAACAAGATTTAGATTTAAATGATTTATATACGATTTTGAAAGAAGATTCGTCAGAGTTACTGGGCAACAAATTACATAAGTATTAAATTTATTCTTTGTATGTATGAAAATATAAAAAAAACATTATTTATGTATTCTTTCTATTTTAGACTATGGAATGAGGAATTGATAATCTCAAAGAAAAAAAATCAAAAGCCAAGCTTTTTTTATACGCTATTTAGAATGTTTGGATCAACATTTATGTTCATAGGAATTTATATTGCAATAATGGAAATTATTTTAAGGTAAAATTAAAATCATAATTTATTGCATCAAAACCACAAAAAAATATTTATTGAAATTTTTAATTTCTAACTCAAATTCAAGTATTTGACATTCCTAATTTTTTCTTCAAATACAGCATAAGCATATCAACCATTGTTGGACAAATTGTTGACCATTTTGAAAAGAATTCATCGGTTGGCATTGTCGGAATATATTTATCAATTGGCTTAGTCATAATTTTATTAATAAGGATAATTATTTTTAGTGGTTATGATATGATAAGTTCACATCTAGCTATGAAAATGCGAATAGCAACATGCAATATCATTTACAGAAAGGTATACTACCCATAGTTTGTATTTCTCCTGTTATGTCTTATTATTAAGAATAACAATATACGATAATCTTACATATTGTTTAAGGCACTACGACTGAAAGTGAATTCTTTAGACCAAACCTCCGCTGGCCAAATATTAAACTTAATATCAAAGCTTTTATAACAGCTAAAATATTAAACTTAATATCAAACGACGTAAATCGGTTTGACACATCACTTATATATATACCTTTTTTATGGATTGGTCCTTTAGAAACAGTAGTAGTGACGTACTTTTTGTGGCAAGAAGTTAGTGTGTCATCATTACTTGGTGTAGCCACATTAATTATGTTTATACCATTACAATGTAAGTGAAGAATACAGAAATAATAATTTTTTTAAAAGATAACTATTTTTAAACTTTTATTTCGATTGTTCTTAAAGTATGGTTGGGGTCGAAAACATCTGAGATTAGATTAAAAACTGCCAAAAGAACGGACCAGAGAGTTCATCTAATTAATGAAATAATTATGGGCCTACAAGTGATAAAAATGTACTCATGGGAACCATTTTTTGACGATCTTGCAAAACATTCTAGAAAGTAAGAAATTATCAAAAATAAGATAAATGTGAATCGATTTAAATGGTAATAATATTATCGTATGATATTGTAGAAGAGAAATCAACAAAATTAAAAAATCATCTTATATCAAAGGAATTTTGTCCTCGTTCTTTTTGTTTAACACAAGAATTGCATTATTTGTGACTTTATTTTCGTACATATTATTCGGAAATTATATAACAGCATCAAAAGTAATGGTTTTTAATCTTTTATTAAATATACATATTATATTATATTATAATTATTTTCATAATTGGTTCTAGGTATTTGTGATAACTTCGTATTATAACATTTTGCGGAGAGCATTGACAATCACTTTTCCACCGGGTATAGGTAAAACTGCTGAATTACTAGTCTCAATTAAAAGGATCGAGGTGTGCCTAATTTTTATATTGTAATCAGGATAATTGAAAAATAATTTTTCAGGATTTTCTTTTGAATGAGGAAAAGGATAAGCAACCAAACAACCGTATAAAAGCTAAAGATGCAGATAAAAATATAATTGACTATAATAGTAAAGCGTCGTATAAGATCACTGATGAGAGTGAAGCAAAACAGTTCAGTAATTTTGGAGTATCGTTTTTGAATGTTACTGCCAAGTGGGCAGTCTCTCAAGTTAATAATACTTTAGAAAATATAAACATAACTGCAACCCCAAATCGATTAGTTGCAATAATTGGTCCAGTAGGAGCTGGAAAAGTATGGTTTAATTTATAACAATGAATTCAAACGATCTGTACATTTGTCTATATATTTTTTTCAAAGAGTTCATTAATACAAGCAATTTTACAAGAATTACCACTTATGAAAGGAAGTATTTCTGTGGGTGGTGTAGTGTCATACGCATCGCAAGAACCATGGTTATTTTCAGGGTCTGTGAAACAAAATATTTTATTTGGATCACCAATGGACAATGAACGTTATAAAACAGTAAGTTCATTTTATGACTGTTCAATTACAGATTTAAATGTACAAAAAAAATTTATATTACTCATTATCTTGTTTTAAATAGGTTATAAAAGTATGCGCGTTAAAAACAGATTTGGAGCAGTTTCCATATGGTGATAGAACAATAGTTGGTGAGAAGGGAGTTTCTCTTAGTGGCGGTCAAAAATCAAGAGTAAATTTAGCAAGGTATGGTAGTTATAAACAAATGTAAATTATAAACTTATAATCATGGTATATAAAAAATGATTTAACTCATGCAACTATACAGTTAACTGGTAGGATAGCAACAATTGTTTTCTGTTCCTGTCATTGCTTAACCACAATTAGATCGACTTTCCAGATGCCCGTGTCTCGGTATCTCGTAAATCATAGTACCAATCTAATTATTTGGTAGATATTTTTTAAATTCATTTCAATAATGAAAGCTTAGTTGCATGACATTGTCCTTTAATCGTATACCTATCAATATTATAGTTGAATAATTATTAATAAATCAAAATATTCTACATCAGAGCTATATACAAACAAGCGGATATTTATTTATTGGATGATCCTCTATCAGCAGTTGATACTCGTGTAGGAATGCATATATTTGAAAAATGCATAACTGGTAATGTTTCTCCTAAAATATTCAAATCGTATTCTTAAATTTTAAGATATCCATATTCTTCTTTTTTTTATATATAGATTATCTAAAAGAAAAGACTTGTATACTGATAACCCATCAAATACAATACTTAATAAACGTCGATCACATTGTTATAATGGAAAATGTAATTATTTATTAGATAAACAAAACATAACGTTTGTGTAGGACACATATTCAATAAGTTAATACATTTTTTTTTCAATAGGCAAAAGTATTGGCAGAGGGTTCATATCAAGAACTTGAAGAATCACCAAATTTATATTTTACGAAAATTTTCGGATACTCCACAAAAACACCAATTTTAAACATCAATGACGAAAATTTGGTTGGAAAAAACAATACCAAAAAAAAATATTCTATGTATAACAATTTGCACGAGTCGATTTTAAATCCGGCCACACCATCTGTCAAAAAAATGAAAACCGTTAAGGTAAACCATACTGAGCCCGTCAAAATATTAGAAACACATTCTACTGGAAATGTGGCACTTGGTGTTTATTTTGCATATATATTTGTGGGTGGACATTATTGCAAAGTATTAGGATTATTTTTGGTATGCATTCTCACACAAATACTATCGTCGGGTGCAGATTACTGGATAACTTATTGGTAATATTCTTAAAACACTCATCAAATATCTATTTAATTAGTTAAATATTTGTTAAAAGCATCATGTGGTTTGTTTAGGATTAATTTGGAAGAAAAGATTTTTCGAACGAACACACCTTTGGTTTCAGACAGTACATCCTTAAAGGATTCATCTGATGCATTATTGACATCGTGGACTGCATCAAGACAAACATGTGTTATTGTTTTCGCTATGCTAACATTCTTGATCATAATATCTGCATTAGTCCAATCCACTTTACAGGTATACGTGTGCACAAAAGCGTCCATGAATTTGTATAACCGTATGTTCAGTTCCATTACAAGAGCAACAATGACTTTTCTGAATAAAACTCCATCGGGTGATATGATAGATAAGATTATTTTTTAGCTATAAAATTAGATTTTAATAAAGCAATTTCATATTAGGGCGAATCCTCAATCGGTTTTCGAAAGATATAGGACTCATTGACGAAATGTTACCTTCTGTGTTGATTAATTGTATACAAGTAAACTAATCCTTTCATATATATTTATTTGACATTTACTGGTTTATGAGTAGGTACCTATGTAATTTTTCATAATATTAAATATTATTAGATTGGATTGGTGGCGTTTGGAATAATAACAACAGTAGGAATTGTCAATCCCTATTTGGCTTTACCAACATTCGTCTTAATAATATTATTTTTAAAAATAAGAACTATTTTTATGACAACAACTCGTAATGTCAAACGTCTAGAAGGTGTTAGTAAGTACCTATTGAATTTATTATAGTATACATGTAATGAAATAAAAACCACTGGTATTTGAACTTTTTATTATTACTATTTATTTAAAATTAATTAGCACGAAGTCCAATATTCACTCACGTGAATTCATCGCTTCAAGGGCTGACAACAATAAGAGCGTTTAATGTTGAACAAATTCTTATCCAAGAGTTTACCAGCCATCAAGTGAGTGAAAGACTGTGACTAAATTAATCAGCAAATACTTTTCTCCATAGTGTGCTGCAATTAATACTCGAAACTTTTCCAGGATTTACACTCATCGGCTTGGTATTTGTTTATCACTCTAAGTAGGGCGTTCGGTTTTTGGTTGAATATGTCCTGCATGTTCTATATAAGTCATGTAATATTTTCTTTTATATTGATTAGTGATGGTAAATATATATAATTTGAATATTATATTAGTACATTACATTTTATAATGCTGAGAGTGTAGAATAGTACTCCTGTCTTATTACATAAATTTCAGTTACAAATGGGAGATATGTTGGTTTGGTTGTAACACAATCAATTGTTTTATCTACTATGTTCCAATGGGTAATGAGGCATTCGGCAGACTTGGAAAACCAAATGACGTCTGTAGAAAGAATCCTAGAATATACAGATGTACCACAGGAATCAGCACTTGAAACAGCACCCGGTAAGAACTATTTAACAGCCTTATACCATATAAAGTAATATAAATTACATGTGTACCTGTACCACTATACCTGTAGATGACAAAAAATCCGAATAAATTTGTTTTTAAGGTTCATAAAATATTTATGTTATATAATTCAGATAAATTGCCGCCGACAGACTGGCCCAATAATGGTCAAATTATTTTCAAACAGCTTTATCTGCGTTATGACTTGGATACACCATTTGTTTTAAAAAATCTCAATATCAACATTGAAGCTGCGGAAAAAGTAATATTAATGAATTTTAGTACTTTACTGCAAATAATTTCACTGAGCAATAGGCATACAGAGCAATGTAACACAATATGCTTATCACAGTTTGACTGAAAGTTGGACTGTAAATATTGTTTTATCATGACATATTTAAGAAACAAAATCAATAATAGTGATATCTTCTTTATACCACAAAGACGATAGTATTAATATGTCAAACAATAACCTCAGAGCCGGGCCGAATGCCTTACAAGATGGCGAAGATATGGCGTCTTTTGTGTTGAACGATTCTATAAACTGTTGAAAAACCAAATATTCGGACATTTGATAAACAAATAGTGTATGGTTCTCATCGGTATTATCAGTATAAGTTAGGTTTGTAAAGTAATGCGTTACATCACAGCAACATACAATATAATTATCACTGAGTGCTATTTACATTATTTCAAAATGATAAAAAAAGTTGCTTGGTAAATGTTTAAAGAATATATTTTAGATACCTACCATGAACCATAAGTCCTAAAATTATATTAAAATTTAAAAAAATAATTTATTTTCTCACAATTTACAAAATATTTCAAAATATGTTAAAGAAGCTAAATGTGCCCTTATAAATGAAATATTCTCAAGTACCTACCTACCTATGTAAAAAAAAAACTTTTTTCCTACCTATGAACCTGTTTTGGAGTGTTGAATGAATTGTTGACAATTTTTACTCTCAAAGTCTCAACAGACTGCATAATCGTGTAAAAACATATAATATATGCAATATTTTGTTGCATTTTTAAGTTATAATCATTAAAAATCACAAAGTATTATCTATATCTATCAATATAAATATAAATGAATGTCGCTTTTTTCCACACTCATAATCGTTAAAATTACTCATCTGATTCGCTTGAAATTCAATATAGATATTCAGCCAGATCAGGGGAAGGTAGTATCCATATGAAATCACAAAATATACCTCCTGACAACAGAAAGTAAAGATGCAAGGTTGCTACTAGTGGCACTCTTTAACGGATTAATATTCAATAGGTATACATAATAATCTATATAATCTATACCAACAAAAATGAAACTTATTGTTTTATAAAAAAAAAAAAACTAATAGTGGTGTGTGATTTAACGGATTTATAATAATGAACTGTATAAATCTATGAAAATAAATATGAATGTTAATAATATCTAATCGACTGATGGCCTGGACGCAGAACGGGTAGAAGTCCAGCTAGTTCTAAATAAATAAAAATAAAAAATTATGGTATAAAAATTTGGTTAAAAATGCAATTTATTTTCTTTTAACATGTTAAATAAATTGTATTAAATAGGTATACTACTTAGGTACCTATTATTTAGTAACTAAGTACATTAATTACTAGTATTTATAATATACAGGACTATATTATAATTGAATTCTTTTTGTACTAAGTAGGTAGGTACTAGGTAATTACACTGAACAATATTATTCACAAAATAACAATAAAGTGTACAGAAATAGATTTTAAAAAATGTTTAGACATGTGTAATAATGATGTTTTTTAAATATAGATATTATACATCTAATTGATATTTTATAACTATTCAAACTAAATTATTAATCTTAGATTCAAATATATAACTTAGTGCAAAGTTCTCCCAATGTAATATTTTTTTTTTTATTCAACTTAAGCCCGTCGACTAAGGCTATTAGCTGTTGTAGGGGTTATGAACTGTGGTAGAGGTAAGGTTGGTACTGTAGGTTGTTTTTACGATTGTTTGGGTTGTTACAGTAGGTAGCAAACACGTGTATGTGTGGCAAGGTTTTTATTTTTTTAACTACTATAAATCCGGATGGTCATCCATCCGGGAGCTAGTAGCTGTGGCCGTTACTTACTCCCAGTCGCATTCCGCGACTGATAACAGCCAACGCGCCATGCCAAGCCACAATGTAATATTTAAAAAAATCTATAAATGCATATTATCGTCTGGGCGCTAAGAATTAGCTTTCAAAATAATATAAACAATTGAATTTAGACAAATCATTTGCAAATCAGGAATTAATTGATTTGTTTTTATTTGACATTCGTTATTTGATAACACTAAAATACCCATATATTAACATTATGAATATGAAAAGATTATTAGGTAGGTAGAATTAAGAATTAATAGGTAAAATTAAACAAATTAAATTATTAGATGTTATGTATACTTGCCATTTACAGTAACTTTATTTCACTAATTTACTCGGTATAATTTATATTTAATAAGTAAGAGGGTAAGACAATTCATGGTGTGTGTCATGTGATTATAAAAATATTTCATTCTATGAATATGCATCATTGCGACATTGCATACTAGATTTTATCAATATTTTATATTTCTAAGTAGGTATTAAGTAAATACATATCACTACTATATAGGTACTTTGTACATCTAAACATCTACGATAGGTACTTGGTTATTAATGCATTATAAATCGTAATATTCAAGTAAATATAAGTTGTTGTGCTTCATTAGATTGGAATCATTGGAAGAACTGGTGCAGGAAAATCATCTTTGATTGCAGCATTATTTAGATTAGCTGTTAACGAGGGTAACATAATTATCGATGGTGTGGAAATACACGAATTGGGATTACACGACTTGCGATCCAAAATTTCCATCATACCTCAAGAACCAGTTTTGTTTTCAGGAACAATGAGAACAAATTTAGATCCATTTGATGAATACACAGATCAAGTTCTTTGGAAAGCTTTAGATGAAGTAACATTTTTATTTTAAATACCTACCTATTTAGAAGTACAAAATGTGTTTTATATTGAACCATACTTAAGTATAATTATAATAAGGTGGAGCTCAAATACGTAGTAGAAAATTTGTCAAATGGTCTAAATTCGAAAATGTCAGAAGGTGGTTCTAATTTCAGTGTTGGTCAAAGACAATTAGTATGCTTGGCTAGAGCAATTATACGAAATAATAAAATTCTCGTTTTAGACGAAGCCACTGCAAATGTTGATCCACAGTAAGAAATTAGAATTTAAAAACATAATGAAATGTAAATTATGTACGAATGGGGGTACCTACTAAAATAATGTTTCTAATTTCTACGTTTTAGAACTGATTCTTTGATTCAAAAAACTATAAGAAATAAATTTAGTAAGTGTACAGTATTAACAATTGCACATCGTTTGAATACAGTGATGGATTCTGATAAGATACTTGTAATTGACGCTGGTACGGTAGTTGAATTTGATCATCCATATAATTTATTGAAAAATAAAGGTGGATTTTTATACCAAATGGTAGAACGAACTGGACAAGGCAATGCTCAATCATTACATAGTTTAGCTTATGAGGTATTTATTTTTACTTAGAATTAGTGAAGCTATTGGTTTTTATTAATATAGTTTTTATAATTTTTAAAGAATTACAATAACGTACACAATATTCCAAGCGAACATCGATTGGCAAGTATTAACGAAGATGAAAACGAATTTAAGATCATGAATTTATGAGTTATACTTGTATAGTTGTATACCATGTATAGTTACATACGTACAATCAAAAATACAATTATTGCATTTCCACATTATAGTATTATATAATACATATTATAATAAACATTAAAATTCGTATTTATTACAGTGTTAATAATCTTAAAAATAACTTCAAACGCTCATAAAAATGTATTTTGACTTTCCGGTAAACATTTTTTCATTGCAAAGGTAGACAAACTTAGGAAAATCTTGTACTCAATTTTTAAATCTTAGTTATAAAATTTTTTATGAATATCTAACTCAAAATAATTTTTTTTTCATTTTTGTGGTTTACACGAATCTTGTCAACATTTAAACTACATACGCTCATAAAAAATTATTCTGGGAGAAGCTAAGCATTTTTTTTAATTTTACCATTAACAACTCACGAGGAACCTTGTGTTTAATTTTCAAGTATTTTGACAAAGTGAAAAATGTTTCATCGACATTAGAGGACACTGCCCACGCATTTTGTTGTCTCCATTTTGTAAAACGTACGAAATTACTAATTTTCGTTCACTGCTTTCAATAATGTACTGTTACATGTTAGTTTTGATGTTGTGGTGGAGTGAATTAAAATATTATCTTCAAATGATTAAAATCAACGATATTATCAAACGTTTAGGTAAGAATATTATCTAGAATCTAAATCAAATAAAAAAATATGTCTTTGCCGACATAGGTAGGCGACAGTTAGTCACACATAAACCTTGGTACGTATCACAGTTTAAGATAGTCTATCTTAAACAGTGAGAGAGAGTAAGGCTGACACGATAATAATTACACCAAGTGCGCTGCTTAAAGAATATATGAGTATACTCGAAAGTGCGGTAACTGATCCGAACAGATACTAGACTCTTCCTAACAGATATCTCACACTTGATTTGAATTTTTTTACAAAGATAATATTTACTAAAAATACAAATCTTTGGGCTGAGCAAGATCAGGTGGGACAACTATTGATTATATAATGAGTGAATTGCACGTAAATCGATTTTTATTTGAGGTGACTATAGCTGTCTTACTAAACACTTAAGCCAGGTTTTTGATTTTACGCTTTTTTACATACAAAAAAAAAACATTAGGTATGCGACGGCACAAAAAGCTTCCAAACCACAGTATGAATATTGTACAAACATTTTAAAAAAAACAATAAATCTTTGCCCGGGCAACGGTGGAGCGACCGCTAGTATTATATACATAACTACGCATATAGGTATCTATTATTTGTGTAAAAATATAATTCCGTTCCTTAAGAATATTGGTATTTAACGATTTGTTAAAAATGACTGAAGAATTCTGGATGGGCCTGGTATTTGGCTTTATCGGAGTCGTGGGAATGATAAGTCGCCTTTTATCAAATTACAATCAAACATCCGACGACGATCACGAACAGAAATCAGTAACGGAGGACTTGGAGGTAAACAAAATATAATACATATATTATATTATAATGTGTAATAGCTTGGAGTATTTTAACTACTTTGAGTAGCCTAGATTTAAGATAGGAAACGGCTAAGACCTAACCAATGAGGGTGATTAAATCCGTATTAAAATATGATTCAGTATTTAATTTTTTCTTTTAAAAAAACACCATTACAGTACTTTTGTTGTTTTATAACTTTAAGAAAGATTCTTAAAATGCAAGATGGTTGTAACGAAGCCCTTCTCAGGACCAACACATAGTATTGAATAGCATTTGCGTATTATACGTATGGATAGGCAACATGTATTACAAACACCAATCACAAATAGGCCACACTTTAAAAGTCGATTACCGACCACCTATTCAAATTACAAATAGTTAAAAAAAATGCCCGGGTGGGGGCGGCCTCTCTCTCTAGACACCGGTGACTGCCCGGAGAGAAGTGCCGCCCGTGACCGAGGTTCGAATCGGCGACGGTGCGCGTTGCAACCGAAGCGTTATCAACTCGGCCCCTTCGTCCCCCATATTGTTATAAGGTAGGAAGTATAATGTAGGTTTATATGCTACATAAACAACTGCTTAAGTTGCAATACAAACTAAGTAGTATTACTACCTATTTATATTAATAGGATGACAGTGATAATGACACTGACGAGTTCTTCGACACGGAAACTGGAAGTGAAATAGACATTATTGAGAGACATGATGCAGAGGTTGTAAATGGTACTCGGATTATCGAGAAACATGATGCAGAAACTGAATGTGACATTCAAATTAACGAGGAAAATAAAAATGAAAATATTATGGAGCAGAGATTAAAATCTATTGAAGGTTAGTTTTTTAAGTAATTAAATTAAATTTCAACTAAAAATACCTTAATTTTAGATACACTCATGTTACTGAGAATAGAGATGGCATCCATGAAAAGTAATATTAGATACAATATATATAGGAATACCTATAATAGTATTAAACATTATTTTTACATTTAACATTCGTTTAGGAAGTAGATCAAAGACTAGGATTTCAATCCGACTGGATCAACCTAGCACAAATTGCAACCAAATGCATTATTGCCAACAATCAACACCACCACCGTGCTGGGGACATCCAATGCCAGGGACTCAACCTACACACTCGGTACCGACCCCAACGCCTCCACCACCACCACCCATGACGACCGGCACACCAGCATTCCGGAATAGTAGTCAGGAAACGGTAGAAGCGTGCTCCTCTGAGGAGGCCAGGCCTAATCAAAAGGCGCCAGTCATTTATGGCCGTATACCGATTACTACCGAAATATTAGCATCCGTCAAACTAAGGCCACCGAGTGAGAGGATTTTCAAGAAGCGACCGACTACAACGAAGTAAGAACTTCAAAAATAATTTCTTAAGATCTAGGATTCAGTGGTTTTAATAACACTCCTAACCAAACTTTACAACTTGCCAGTTTCATTATATTTCATTTTTATTGATATTTGTGGGTGGTTAAATAGTTTATATCAGTTGGCATAATGTCTAATTTTGAACTTTTTAATTTCTTCATCACAATTGGGTATTATTCTTTTTTCAATCATTAATTACTGCTTATCCACTGTGTTTTGTAGTTTCTTGAAAGTCCCCAACAATTCGCGCGTACCCACGTAGCTTTGTATATTTGTGAAAATTAAATTAAACTAAATTAAACTAAATCAAATACATTCACATTTTCTTCAAATTTATACAGTTCTAGAAAATATTGCATTAATCAGGATATTCATTAATTGGAGTCAGTAGCTCTAGTTCACAGTATACATTGTAGGTATGTATTGTTGTGGAGTTAATGTAATGTTAATGTAATGTATGACTATAATAGCATAGAATAAACATATTTTATAGAATAAACCGGGTGATTCTCTTATCACCAACCAGTCAATATCTCTGTAAGTATTAGGAATTTAAAATTTTTTTTTTTACTTTCTAGATTTTACTGTTAATTTTGATAATTTTAATTGCCTCCATTGATTAATAAAACATTATCAACTTTCGATTTTCAAATGGCAATACCTTAACAAAAATCAATATACATATTGAAAAAAATAATTTCAACGTGTACCTACAGAATTTAATTTAAGTAATCTGTTAGCGACTTATTACTGTTTAAATATTCATTCAATTTACTGCCGATGGGCAATTTATCAAACCTAACAGTCAAAACCGGAAGTCAAAACGAAATTATATGTCTCAATTTAATGATCCAAACGGTCATAATCGATAATAATTACTAATAAGTAGTAATTACAAATTTCACTTTGTGCCCTATACCCACTCACACCTGACCACCAAGTGTCTATAGTAAACTCATAGATAATATAAGAATGGATGAGTCATTTTTCATACTACCATTCTGCACACAAATTAAAACCCATGATTGAATCCGCTTGGAGAGAAAAATTAAATTATTAATAATACAACAATAATATGAATTACGATATGCAACAAATTGCATTTCATATAATAATATATAATATAATCATAATACATCATTGGTTTTCACCTTTGTATGGATCAATTTTGTATGTGTACTTACTTATTCAAAAATATGATATTTATATATATATATATTTAAATAGTCAACTTAAATACGAACTGGTACTTATTTTTATTATACTTTATCAACTATCATTAGTTAGTTGTCAACTGGAAGTAGCATCCTCATAAATCAATCTAATGATAGTTGATTAAGTATAACAAAAATAAGTACCAGTTCGTATTTAAGTTGACTATTTAAATATATATATATATATATATCATATTTTTGAATAAGTAGGTACACATACAAAATTGATCCATACAAAGGTGAAAACCAATGATGTATTATGATTATATTATATATTATATGAAATGCAATTTGTTGCATATCGTAATTCATATTATTGTTGTATTATTAATAATTTAAATTTTCTCTCCAAATGTGTAAGCCAACTGGAGAGGCGGATTCAATCATGAGTTGTAATTTGTGTGCAGAATGGTAGTATGCAAAAATGACCCATCCATTATTCTTATATTACCTATGAGTTTACTAGAGACACTTGGTGGTCAGGTGTGAGTGGGTATAGGCACAAAGTGAAATTTGTAATTATTACTTATTAGTAATTATTATCGATATTACCGTTTGGATCATTAAATTGAAACATATAATTTCGTTTCGACTTCCGGTTTTGACTGTTAGTTTGTTGATAAATTGCCCATCGGCAGTAAATTGAATGAATATTTAAACAGTAATAAGTCGCTAACAGATTACTTAAATTAAATTCTGTAGGTACACGTTGAAATTATTTTTTTCAGTATGTATATTGATTTTCGTTAAGGTATTGCCATTTGAAAATCGAAAATCGAAAGTTGATAATGTTTTATTAATCAATGGAGGCAATTAAAATTATCAAAATTAACAGTAAAATCTAGAAAGTAAAAAAAAAAATTTTAAATTCCTAATACTTACAGAGATATTGACTGGTTCGTGATAAGAGAATCACCCGGTTTATTCTATAAAATATGTATATTCTATGCTATTATAGTCATACATTACATTAACATAAACTCCACAACAATACATACCTACAATGTATACTGCGAACTAGAGCTACTGACTCCAATTAATGAATATCCTGTATAATGTAATATTTTCTAGAACTGTATAAATTTGAAGAAAATGTGAATGTATTTGATTTAGTTTAATTTAGTTTAATTTAATTTTCACAAATATACAAAGCTACGAGGGTACGCGCGAATTGTTGGGGACTTTCAAGAAACTACAAAACACAGTGGATAAGCAGTAATTAATGATTGAAAAAAGAATAATACCCAATTGTGATGAAGAAATTAAAAAGTTCAAAATTAGACATTATGCTAACTGATATAAACTATTTAACCACCCACAAATATCAATGAAATGAAATATTATGATACTGACAAGTTGTAAAGCCTGGTTAGGAATGTTATGAAAACCGCTTAATCCTGGATCTTAAGAAATAATTTTTGAATTCGCGTCGAACATAGCTTGAAATATTGTTGAATACGATGCTCTCAATCCGGCAGAAAATTATATGTTAAATACCCATAATTATTTGGGAATAAATAAAAATAAATATGTTACATTGTTTATTAAAAAATAAAAATATAAATAAATACTTAACTATTTTTATTTGCCACGTACATAAAAGTTCTAATTTAAGGAGTGTTTTATGTAAAATTGTATAAGTCAGAGGTTCCCAAACTGTGGGTCGCGACCCAAAAGTGGGTCGCGATTATACTTTTGGTGGGTCGCACTATTTTTTTAAATAATACAAAAATATAATCATCTATTACTTTTCGTTGATGTTCAAAGTTCAAATTCAGTTTTATCGTCAATCCTTATCTGTGAGTATGACAATTACGAGTTTACCAGCGGCCGTGTCAAATACTATATATTATACTTATTATACATTTTTTTCGTAATTACATAAAATGTAATAAAATAGTTTAATTTTCTGTTGTATGGTAAAAAAAAAAAAGGTCATTCATTGATATTGTGGGTCGCTATATTTAAAAAAAAATTCAAAATGGGTCGCACAATAAGAAGTTTGGGAACCTCTGGTATAAGTATTAATCATCACTATACTGCCAAGTGCCAATAAACTTATTGGAATATTATTTTTCCCGCTTTACTATATACATTACGCACAGCGTGTGCACACTTGGTTTAAGCAGTATTTTAGTGACACGCCTATGTGTTAAGATGGGAAAGTATTAAAATGCATATATATCGTTTAATATTACACCAGTTATATTTCCATGTCAGTGGCTCAACTAGGGTTTTCTTCGGGATGCTCCCTCTCACCACCCCTTTGAGCTGTTTAAAATAACCTATCAAAGTATCAACAACTATAAGTGTATTCATTAAATATAGAGAAGCATATTTATAGATATATAGTAGGTATATCAATATATCAGTATCTCTATATATGTTACGGGCAATGTGGAATACCGGGCAATGTAAACCACCCCTTTTTTTTCTAACCAACATTATTTTTTATTATTATTATAAATTATAATCATTAACTATTTGTAGTGTTGATTTTTTTTTAAAACAATCATTATTAATTTTATTCATGTACCATAATATTACGAATATTTTGATAAAATAACAAAAAAAAATTAACAAGTATCTTAATTTTATTTTTACAATAAATTATAATTTTAATATTACCTATTTATTTGAACAAGATTTAGAAACATGACACTTGGAATTGCATAGTCTGCTTTTCTACATTTGTTTTTTATAGGCAGTACGATATTAAAATCATTGGTCGGTAGTACTTGTTCTTGTATAGTTTCTTATACAACACCAGTCGGTATCGCGAATCGGTCGGTTGAGACACATCGGACACATCTGCAGCGAAGGAGACCACTACTGGTCGACAAAACCTTAACCCTAATTGAAATAACCCTTTCGCAGACAATTTCCCACCAACTGATACGTTGGCATAATATATTATGCATTTATACATTATACCGAAAGATATGTTCGGAGCACGGTCGGTGGAATATTGTCTGCGAAAGAGTTGGTTAGTGTCCTTCGCTGTAGATGTGTCCGACGTGTCACAAGTCACAACCGACCGATTCGCGATGCCGGCTGGTGTTGTATAAGAAACCATACAAGGACAAGTCGTACTACCGACCAATGACAAGGCTAAAGTGGAGTTAAGAACGATGGTGCAGTCAGAATTTTAGTTATGGTTATATTATAACCATAACTAATAATAAACTTATAAGTTCAAAAAAAAAAACCAAAAATTGTGAGGGGGTGGTAAAGTGCATTTGTTCCCCAATGATTTGACATCCTCATTAATCTACCTATGTACGAGACTGTGAAATTAAATAAATTCAGTGTTGGGCAAGTTACTTTTTTTTGGTTATTAAAATATATTATGAGCAATATCGGGACACCGATTTTAATTATTTAAAGTGCATCCATCAAATGTATCAACTTTATTTTACTTACAGGATCACAATTGAAAATATTATAGATAGGTACTGACTGTTCTCTCTGACCTCTGTATAGCGTCATTTCAGTTTTCAATAGAGAGGGCATAGTTTTGATCATACCACATGGGTAACTTAAAAAATATATAGAATAAGTATACTTCAACTATTAATTATTAATTTCGTCAATAATTTCTTAGTACACGATAGACGGTTTCTGAGATAAATGCTAATAAAATATTAAATTAATATTATAGTAAAGATAATCGGAAAATACTATAAATATTTATACTATATATATATAGTATAACATAGATGTCTGTGGAAACTACTCTGACAACTCGGTAACGTGGTTAATCATTTGGTAACCTTACCTATCCAACCAATCACAGCAAAGAATTTTAAGGGGGTTCACAGCTCGCCATGTCGTGTACAGTAAGTTGAGTATATCCAACTTGTAGAAATTTTGTATTAAAAACACTACACGACACAAAGAGATGTGAATCCACGAACGTGTCTGCTCTATGTTAAACCATGGTTGAAATGTATGTACATTGTACAACCGTGGTCTAAACTCAACATTATCACTAATCAGTTATCACTAAACGCCATAATCACATCGCCATCCAATATTGGCATTTTGGCAATTCAGAGTTCAGACTTCAGAGTCGACAAAGTCTGAACTTCAGGCGGCTTCGTAATTATAATCAGTAGTTGCAAATCGCATATCATTAATCACATTATACCGGTAATAACACTACCTATTGGCTATTGTATGGCTGTTTCGCAATCATCGTCTCCGACCATCAATGCACGATAGATGATTGAACATAATACTCATAAAGTTGTTGTATAGACAATATTCCATCACATCGTCTCCTGGTCTATTCTACAGAAAAGTACCAAAAACAGCAAATCGTACCTACAAACCTTTATAATATACATCATTACTGGTTGCTGTAAAATAACACCTCCAACGACTTCACAAGTTTCAGGTAAATGATTTTAGTATTTTACTTTCAATAATAACCCTAAATAATTATCCTTTCATACCATTGTATTAAACACATTGCCCAATTATCTCGGGCAAATTTACTATTTAACCAATCTCTAGGACTAAGTATAGGTAGTCTATTATATAGCAATTATTCGACATTTCGATGGTTTTAAAGGCATCATGTATGATGTATCAACTACGATCCTTGACTAAATTTAAATTGTTTTCATGTCGTTGGGCATCTGTCACGATTAACGCATCAACTCTCTTGAGGTTCCGATTTATGAAAATTCAAAAATCCCGCCCGGAGATAGATAACTAAATCGATTCATACAAAATATATAGCAGGCGCCAGGCCGGGTCGGACTTTTTTGATGTCGTGGGCCAAAAATAAATATAAATATTTCACGGTTCACAATTTGAGTATACCTTATTTTATTTAAACAAAAATGTATAATCAAATCGAATTTACTCTAATTAAGTTCATAACTGTTACGTCTTACGTTATTCATTGAACAAAGTATCTACAATCTATGGTTTTAATCAGCAGTTTCATAAACATTCAATAATATCTTAGCCCTTAGATCGTGATTTGTGTACAAATTAAAAATTGAACGTGCATTTTTTTTTGTTAATTTTATAATAATTGATAGTTAATTTTATATATTGACATGTAGCTATGTACTATAATATTTTTTCGTGATGATATAACTACTAGATATGTAGGTAGTTTTTTAAACCATTTGTTTGTGGGAGGGACCTGGGGGAGTATTATTTTTTTTATAAACGGTAACACTGCGCTATCCCTCGCGTCTATTCCATATTACCTACTACAATGTTACTCCATGGTTCATAATGTATCGTGCATCTATCAAAATATTATAATTTATAATATCACATAATTACCTATTATTATCATAATTCATTAATAATAAATCTCGAATTATTTTACTCATGAAATATACTCGAGTAATTACCAATTAATGATACCAAACTTCAATTTGCAGCGATCGTAGGTACGTATTGTGTTCACTGTTCAATTAGGATATTGCATTACTGCCTATGTATTAAGTTTATCATATAGGCAGTTGATACTTGTTGTCTGTACCTGTCTTAGTGTTTTGACCTGGCGGTTCAATGTTTTTATATTTACCTAATTAATAACAGAAAATATAAGAACAGTATATAGTAAAAACTTTTGATGTATGTTAAGGTAAAAAATGGAAAACGTACAGCAAAGTTCCAATGGATCAAGTTTCAATGATTACAACGATGTCAATCTGACCATACGGATTCTATTTCATGGCCGAGTATGTTGTATATTATTTCATTTTTGTATTATTTAAGAGGGTGCTACACATGCATTTGTTGTCTATCTATTTACATTATATATTTTAATAGTTTTGTTTTTAATATATTATTAAACTTAAAGACGATAACATTATCTGTACTTTTATGTCTCTTTTTTCTCATTATTTTGAAGATTATCTAGAATATTTTATAGGTAATACTATAAAAGTATAATATTGGATATAACCACTGACAGGGTACAGCCTACCTTTATTGTCCTAGGTTTGATAATATTTCCATATTGGTAAATGTACTTAATAAAGCTACCTAACTTTATACTACTAGACAAGCAATGAGTAAATGAAAATCGTAACAACGTAGATGGCCCTTTGGATTAATCAATTACTCGTATGTACTGTAATGCAGGGCAGCAGGATCAAAAATGTATGTATAGATTATTTTATTTTTTCCTTAAGACAGCCTACATTGATGCAAGATGTTATACACAGTTCTTGTTTAGTAGTACAAAGTATGTTACCTAACCTATTACCCATTGAACAAAACTTTCAAAATCTAAATGTTTTATGTAAGCATATGACCGAGACTACATAAGCATGTGTATTATAGTATAGTTGACTCTTAAGGATGATCTTAGATTATGATTTATGATTCAAATTTTATTATTTTTTCTCTTTTAATTTTAATATGTTTTTACCATTTTGGCAGTCTATTTAACATAAACAAAAGGCAACATGGATTAACTTATAAAATATTTATAATTTTTTTTTTTTTACTGACAATATTTGCCAAAAAAGCATTACATACAAACAGTTCAAAATTGTAGCTAAATGTTAATTAAATGTGTGCACTTAATTTTATATCATATGCATGTACCGGGTATATACATTTTTATGATAACTTTCATTTTTTTTCCACTTTAGGAAGTCGGAAATGTTATTGGTAAAGGAGGTGAAACTGTAAAAAATATAAGAGACCAGGTAAATAATTAAAGAAATTGTTCAACCTGTTAATATTATTAAAATAATTTAATATTTTTTTAGTCTGGTGCTAGAGTTTTAATCTCTGATGGATCAACTCCAGAACGTATTGTGACCATTACTGGAACTACAAATGCAATTTGTAAAGCTACCGAGCTTATTGGACTTAAAGTCGAAGAAGTAAGAATTTTAATGTAAATATAGATTTTAAAATTACATTTTACTATTTTTTTAGTTTTTTGAAAGACAAAATGGTGATTGGAATGGCCCAAAAGCGCCTTTGACTTTTAAGCTTATTGTGCCAGCATCTCAATGTGGTTTCATAATTGGTAAAGGTGGATGTAAAATAAAAGAAATTAGAGAATCAAGTGGAGCTGCCATACAAGTGGCATCAGACATGTTACCCAATTCAACTGAACGTCTAGTTTCAATTACTGGTACTACGGGCACAATATCTCAATGTGTTTATCAAGTGTGCAACGTCCTATTAGATGTAAGAAAAAATAAAATATTTATTTCAAGCATTAAGTAAATTAAATAGTTGACGTATGGTGTACTGGTGGATACACGTGATATAAAATTTTCTATAGATATTAAATATTAATAATACTAAAGTATTTCAATTTATAGGACACTGAGTGAGATGTTTTTGATTTTTGAATCAGTGTTATTTCTATTAGGCAAATGAGTAAGACAAGTAAACTATTTGATGCTCAAAAGAGTTTTTCTATGGATAAGTCATAAATTACTTATTTGACATATTAAAATTAAGTTCTGTTGGTATTTGGACAGTTTTTTTTATAAAATAGTAATAATAAGAATATGAAGACGTAATTATATTCTGAAAATCAATTAATCACAATAACTCAAAAAACTTAAATCAAACTTTTATTTATTTGTTTGTCCCTTAAAGTGTTTATTAGTTGTATTTGAAGAATATAACCTGAAAAATGCATAAGTTGAATTTATTTTTATTCTCCTTGAGATTTTAGTTATTAAGATTACTGTATTATTATATAGGTCTTAACATTGTTTTATTTTTGTGTTAACTTGAATATCAGTATATTTTAGTTACAGAAATTACTGTATGTTCTAAGATAATATGAAATATCTAAAATAATTTATAACTTTTCAGTCCCCGCCACGTAGTGCAACAATCCCTTATGATCCTCGTAGTAAGACTTCAGGATTTGCTAGTAGTGCAGTTGGTAATGATGTAAGTTTCTTATTAGTTTATTACTAATTAAAATCTATTAATAATGTACATTTTGATTAACTATTATAACACTGTTTTAGTTTGGAAGACAACGCACTAATCCTCTGGCTAGTCTTGCAGCTCTTGGATTAGGAACTGCGTCCACTGGAGGTATCAATCCAGCTGGTATGTACTAGTGTTTTTAAATTTTGAATTGTAATGAAAAAACTTGGTTTTATATTGAATTGTGTAGTACAACTTTGGGGAGGCAGCTGATTAAAATAATTTACTTTTCTTTAACAAAATCACTAAAGTTTGCAAATTATTTTATGGTTAAAAATTGTTATTATGCAACTTAAGGCATAAACATTTATTACAAGATTTCTCATTAGTTATTCTTACTATCATTAAAATCAAATTCAACACTTCCATTACAGTAAACTACTCAATAATGAGGTAAACCAAAAACCAACCTACAACAGAGCTATTTCAGTTTTTCCTTTATTTTAAATTAATGATATCCAAAAAATAAAAACGATACTATTAATATCTTTGACTACCTTATATCTATTACTGTTCTTCTTAGCATTGGAAACACAGACAGTTTATGTATCTGAGCCATATCTTAATTAATTTGCAGTGAATAGTATATTATGTATATTTTGGATAGCTTATTAAAATGCATGCATACTTGAAAAACTTTTTTTGGGAACTTGAGTTTTCAATTTTAATTAGAAATAGTAAAGTAGATAGAGATTTTTTAATGTGACAAACCAGTCTACCTTTTTATAATTTTTTATTCAATTTAATTATATTTCAGCCTTAGCTGCATTGGCTGGAAGTCAGTTGAGAACAGGTAATCGTCAAAACCGAAATGGTAGTGGAGAACATAAAAATCAAAATTCTAATTCAAACACTGAGACAATATCTATGACTGTACCTAATGATTTAATTGGATGTGTCATTGGCAGACGAGGAAGTAAAATCGCAGAAATACGGTAAGTTTTATCAAACATAGTATCCTACTCTATGTAAAAATGAATGTTGTATAATAATCACTGATAGGTTTATGGTGGGTTTTATTAAGATTTACCTTTTAAAGATGTTTTAGATACATTTATTTTCTTGAATAGATTAGTCTTGTGTTGTATATATATATATATAATAAAACATTAATCAGTCTGGTTATAATACATTGTTACTGTGAGTATAATTTTCAACACTTTGATTTCTTAAGTTGATATTTTTATTATGAAATTATTTGTTCGGTAAATTTTCATTTAAAATTCTTACTCACTATTCATTAAAGCTTAAAATTATAAAATCATGCTAGTTTATCTACATTAGAAGACAACCAATTTAAAAACAAATCTTTATACTATCAGTTAAAATAAATAGTTTTTATGAATAAGATCTTGATTTAGATATTGATCATATTAATGGTAACATTTGAAATTAATTGATATATTTAAAAATAATAATAATAATAAATAGTAAATATATCGTGTGTATGTATTTTATATAGACAAATAAGTGGTGCTTTAGTGCATATAGCTAAAGGTGAAGGAACTCATGAAAATGGTGAAAATGAGGATCGTCACATAACAATTACAGGAAACAAAGATTCTATTTCAGTGGCCAAGTACTTAATTGAAATGAGGTACAACTTTATTATTATGTTTAAGACAATATTCATGGGATCATAGTTGAGAATCCTAGTGTTATCATTAAATCCCTCGTATTGTATTATATGTCCTTTTTTTATCACTAATCCCAATTTCTTCTCTAGTGTGGAATTGCAGAAAGCCAATCTTGAGGGGGCAAACTCATCCTCTAGTCCTGATGATGGGTCCAGCTCAACCTTGCCCACTCCTCCAACAGTGGCCGCATCTCCTTTGTCGTCCGCCATCCCATTGGCTCAACTATTTGCCAAGCCGGGTGCCATTAATGCCCTATCCAGCTTATCTGCTCTTGGCGGCCTAACCGACCTCTTGGGAGCCTTATCTGGCGCCAATCAATCCCCTCCGATACAGACCACGGGTGTCCATCGCCCGAAAAATTATTTCCAGAGAAACCGCAGTCCTTCAGGCGAAAAAACCAAAGCAGACAGGACCAAGTTTGCTCCTTACTGAATGCTAATTGTTCCCAAATCCGCCAATTATTGATATTCTTACTAATGTTTTGTCCTACCCATCTTCATTTTTTTTTATTTATTTAATTATCTTTAAGAAATCTTCTAATTTTTGAAAGTCTGAAGAAAATTCTAAAAAACATTTTATTTGTTTTTAAAATATTTAACATGGTTGATTTTCTTTATGGAGTTAAACTTAAAACATTATAGATTCAAATCTCTTTCATGGGTAGAATTATTGCATTTTAAGGTTCTAGTATATCATTTTTATTTAATATATTTTATTGTGTCCAATTTATAATATTTCACTTTTTAGTTTAAATTGTTTCCAATCACTACTTATAGCCTTTATCTTTAGTTCTTACATTATATTTTTGTAGATCTTATAGATAATATATCTTGTATTCCTTATTTATTTATTTCTTAATTTTTAACAAACTAGTATGGAATCCAATAAATAAAATCTGCTCTGGTTACATTTGTTGATATTATATATTTATAATTATAGAATGTACGTATGGGTTTTCAAAGATTAAAGAGATAATAACTCGCTTTTTTACTACTTCATGTAGTTATGAAATATATTTATGTTTCAACTAGTCTTTATTATTTGTAAAAAAAAGTATCGGTGTTAATATTCTTTGAAGTATTAACTTCAATATTTATAAAATATGCATGTCTTAATTCTTATAACTTATAAGTTAAACAGAATATATATATATATATATATATAAACAATCTTTTTTATTTAAAAAGTATTATCGTCACAAGCATTTTGAAATTTTTCTTGGATGCAATTGAAAATTGGGCCCTTAATTTATTTGTTAATATTATTAATTTAGTTCAATGATAAAAGAAACAGTTTAAATATATTCTTATATAGTACTTCTTCAATATGTTATCTAATTTCTTATATATTCCAAGTATTTCTATCCATAATCAGTTATTACCCTTATGTATGCTTATTCTACATTATACAATATTTTTGTGATATATGCAATATTATTACGTCAAAGTATAACAGGTCAATACATTTATTTTATTTAACAATATATTGTATTATTTTTCCTTGCCTGGAACACTGGAAAAAAAGATTTGTTTTTTTAAAATAATAGTGACCATTTGATATAATTAATTTTCTTGATTTTGGTTCATTCTATGTCATACTTCCCCCTCTCCACACACAATATCATAGTAGTCTCATAATTTTGAAAAACATTTTCTATATGTAGCATACTAGATAGTAAATCTGAAAATATAGTAGATAGCATATTGAAAGTACTGTGATGGTGAAATACCACATGCATATGTTTTTCATTGTTAACACTAATTATTGGTACTTCTACGTACAAATCGGCCTGGAGTGATCTTTTAAAAAATATCATCTAAATATTTAAGAATATGAGTACATGGAATTATATTCATGTGTCAAGTAAAAATTTTCATTATTTCAACAAAACTAAAAATTAATAATATTGTTGTCAATTATGTTGCAATGTTAGTTTTTATACATGATATAACATATGATATTGTATTATTACGTCTAATTCTTACACATGTGTAGCATGAGCGCACACTCATACATATATTGTAATTACAATTACAATTGCACCATAATAATTATTGAAATTATTAATTATATTGTTATAACAAATAATCAATAATGCACCGTATATAATATTAGCTTGTTAAACTTACTGTTAAGCTTACATCCCAACCAAAATGAATTTTCAAGTTATTTTTCATAAGATAATAATTCTTGTTTAACATTTTTATCAGAGAAGACACCTTTAAAGTTTTTAGAATATCGAAAATGATAAAAACTTAAAATTTGATTTTACACTCATAAAGAAAGTAAATTAAACATTTTACTAAAGGTTCCTAGAGCAGTGTTAACAATAAAATAAATAATATATAAGAAATAAAATGTACTTCAATTATTTTGTGATAAAAATTATTATATGTGTATTTAACATATTACTATACAATTTAAATCTGAAGATGGCTTTTAATTGAAACTGGTAGTTACCAATAAACATAATTACTTCTTTCAAGAATTTATGTTTTATTTATTTGATGTAATATTTATTTTATTGTATTACGAGTAAAAAAACGTTAAAATCTTAACTTTTCTTAGTAGTCTGCTTTGTGTTAAAATTTAAAACTAATAACCTTGTATTCATAAATGTAAAATTATGGTAAAATAATAAACTTATTTTATTTCATTTTCAATTGTAATATTTTAATCCTAGTAAAACATTTACATTCATAATTAAATACAATTTTAATTTTAATAATAATACGTTTGTATGTTTTTTTTTTAGTTGTATTATGAAGTTTATTGTTTACTTTTAGACTTAAATAATCTAAATCAATTTTTTCCTTGATCCCACTTTGTGGTCTGTTTCTATACATAATTTTGACACTCCAGTAACACTGTCTACCTGTGAAGCTTAAGCTATTTGTAATTGTCCACTACATTTGTGATATCTAATGTAAAAAGTAACTACTTTTACAATTACTATTATAATCCTTATTGATGATAATTTAATATGATCTATAGCTACAAGTAAGCTATTTTTTTCCTGAAAAATCCATCAAGATAACACAATCAATGGGTAATTTATATTTAAATTGTATGCTTAAATTATTGTTTCTAATTTTATTATGCGAGTCATTATTTTCCTTTTTTATTTTACTGATATGCAATCCACCATTTACAATCATTAATTATTAAGCTGTATTCAATTTATATTTACAATTTACTAATTTCATTTGTTTTATTTTTATTTATTTTTAGAAATATTGGTCAAACTGTTGATGTGTTTTAAGTGTAAGTATTTACAATCAGCATAATAAATATTTTAAAAGGATGTAATTGTAATTGGTTTTCTCTCCCTGGCCCATGAACAATATCGCAAATTACATCCTGCAAAACCAATATTGTGCCATTAGCTTTAGTACTGAGTGATTTGACATACTATGAAACTTTAAGTTAAAAATATTATGTGTGTATCTTGGCATTTTTACAGTATTTAAATTTTAAATTGATATTTGATCATTTTTTATTCGTAATATTTTATATACTCGTGACATGCAAAATAATGGAAATATCATTAAAAAAGTCTAATGTAGAAACTAGAAACTCATATAATTTTCTAAATTTGAAAATTGGTCGATCACTTAATACCCTAATTTTCTACAAATTTTGATATGATGGCTTCCTTAGAGATTGAAAAACTGATTGCAGACTCCTTAACAAAAATACAAAAAATAATATTTACATTTTTTAATATTTACAGACAATTTTGCGGATTCTCAAGGGTCCATGAACCACGAATTTGGAAACCCAGTTGCTAAAGCTAACAATTCAATGTTGGTTCTACAAGATGCTAGTTATTGTACATGGGTTAGAGAGAGAAAACAGATCAGAAAGTGCTGAAGACAATTACAGTCAGATAATGTAATGTTATTTGTAATTAATATAGACATTTTACTAATATATTTAATTGTAAAAGTCTAAATAATAAGAAAAAGTTCGTAATCATTATTGATGATAAATTGCTGTAAAATGTCATTAAAAAAAGTAAAAAGTTAGTTACTTTGCTACTTTTCATTTTTGGATTTTCGTTAATTTCATTTTCTTCTTCACTTTTTGAAAAAAATTAATAATATATATACATAATGCATATGTATAAAAATAGTGTAATGGCTTTGAGTATATTACCTTTTTTTTACTCTCCTAAAAAAGCAATGTGCTTGAGCTAATTTCTAATAATGGATTAAAACTAGAGAACATTTTATTTAGTGACTAGTGCCAGATTGTATGAAAAATCACTAAGCATCTAATCAATCAGTAGTGAGCTAATTGTCCCTTAAACATGATTTAGTATTTTAGTGGCCCATGATTATTGGTCCACTATGTTTTATTGAAGCATTAAATGAATAACAAATTTCATGCAAACTCTGACATAGAAGTATTAACTAATATTTATAGATTTATCAAAGATTCTATGGTTGCAAAATTTATCAGTGAATTCATAAGTATAAATTGTTCACAAAGTCAACTATTACAAAGGTATTAGCAAGGCTGTGCATTAATGACTAACGAGTAAAAAATATAATTACTTTTAACTAAATAGCATAAAGAATTAATTTCTAATTTCTAACTTAACAAGTTCAAATTTGTTCAGGTTATACAATTAGTATACAATTAGTATCAGTTAATTAATTATATAGTATTCTTTTCTTAATATAATTCCCATAGTTAATGTTATGTATAATATTAATTTTATAAATAAAAATAAATTGTAAATATATCTATTATTTATAGTTATTATATTATGTTGAAGTTTTGAATGCAGTATACACTGTATCTGGATTTAAATAGTTATAGAAATAACTTATATAAATATAACTTAATATAAAATTATATTCTCATCCAAGCCCTAATTTCTAAGTTCAAAAACAACACTATCAGATAACATTTAACTTAAACGACTAAGAAAATTAGTTCACTTGCCCAGCCTTGTCCCTTGTGTATTATGTGTAAACGTGTAAATTGTAATGTACCAAATATGGATCTTAAAATCGGTAAAGTTTTTACAATATATTTTCATAACAAAATAAGTTGAGTATTACAATTGAAAATCATATTTTCATGCATTTAAATTTAATGTACCTACTGCAAGTCTGCGAGTGTTGAAGTAATATAGTATCAAATATTAAAATATATTTAACACCAACTATGTATCATAATTTAGCTATTTAATTTATTAGAAAGTCCTTAAAATAAAATCCAAATTCAAGTAGCTAATCTTGTTTTTTAGGAGGTTATTAGTTCATACAATCATCCGAATGTCAAATTGTTTATTTGATAAATACTTACAACAAATTTAAATTTAAAAATATAACACAAGATACAATGCTATTAGGTATAAAGAAAAATATTCTCAATATTTGTTGAAAAGTTGTGTCATATTCATATAGGCAATAATTACAAACTACTTAGGAAAAGCACATATCAGGTGAAATAATGACTTTGTAATAGATAGGTAGTAGGTACCTATATAACGTGTATGATATTTAAAAATACAATTTGTGGTAGGTGTACATGTTATTTTTAATCATACTCATGTTGTTTTTTATTTAAGTTCAATTTGTTAGCATGTTATGCGTATAGAAGTCTTAACTCACTAAACAATTGAACTATTGTAAAAGCCAACATAGGAACACAGATAATGTTCTTATCATCAAGTTTCATAATAAGTTTATTCACTCTAATTTTTAAACTAACGGAATTAAATGTGATTTGTTGAGCGTAAATTGGCTATGCTACACCTTTGTAGGACGGAGAAAAAACATTTTAAGATTTATATGATACCAGATAAGATATAACATTAGAAATGTTATATTAACATGTAATAAATTATATTTAGTTTGTTTTAAAATAACATTACTTTTATTTTATAAATTATTAGACAACAGTTAATTATTAAAATATATCGATAAAAGAAATAATTAATATTGAATATTTGAATGTGAATCAGTGCTCCTGTTACAATTTAAGATAAATAAATAATAGGTAATGTATACTAATATTTTATATTTTATAATTGTGTGACTAGTTTACAAAGTTATATGTATAGGTTATAACTAAGGTATGGACTTAAATGCAGATACCAATTTTTTTTCTGAAAGTCAAAATATGGAGTTTCTAGCACAAAATTCTATGAAACTTTTATTTTAAGAGCATTTATTAGAATGTTCAGTGAATTTTTTAACTTGGATACCCACATCTTTCATATATTTCATAAGAACAGATGAATTTTGACAAAAATGTACCATAAAAATAAAATAAAAAGGTGCTGTTTATTTTTGTAACCAACCTATGTTTTTACCTATGTGGCGCATCGCGCATGTACTAGACAAAACCGTCAGTGGCTGCACAATAGTCTGCTGAAATCTGAAACCTAATTTTAAAAATAACTTTTAAGGTCATTTTGTAAAGTTTGTAATTACTTGATATAAGTAAATTATGTCGTATTTAAAAGCATTTTCTTGTGTTTATTACATTTAAATTTGAGCTCTAGACCTAACTCGCAAAATGATATTAATTAAATTGATAAATCGTAAATGGTAGGTAGGTATCTATCAATGTATCATTTAATATATTTGATGAAGTTCAAAAAATATTTGAATACGTACAAAACTTTTTGTAAGAAACTTAATATTTCACAAATAAATAATGTGATAACATTTTTTCTAAGAAGGTACCCACCACACACTAATTTCTTGAATTTATCCCCAAATACTATTTATTAATTAAGTGGAAATTGTATATTGCAGTCTCATAGACAAAAAAAAATGTATTTTATCTAACAGAAATTTTTTAGATAGAATTACATATATT